TCGGGGCGGCCCCTCCCCCCAGCAGCTGGATCCCGAGAACACAGGCTTCATCGGCGCAGAAACCTTCACTGGCCTGGTGCACAGCCATGAGCTGCCCCTCGACCCGGCCAAGCTGGACATGCTGGTGGCCCTGGCCCAGAGCAACGAGCGGGGCCAGGTGTGCTACCAGGAGCTGGTGGACCTGGTCAGTGCACGGAGGGTGCCCCGAGGCGGCCAGCGGGGGCGGGCGGGGCAGCCGGCCGCGAGGGGCGGGGCTTCGGCTGGGCGGGGCGTCCTGCCCACGCCGTGCCGCCCCCCAGATCAGCAGCAAGCGCTCCAGCAGCTTCAAGAGGGCCATAGCCCAGGGGCAGCGGGCACTGCCGCGGGCCGGGCTGCTGGACGAGCCGGGCCTGGGCGTCTACAAGCGCTTCGTGCGCTACGTGGCCTACGAGATCCTGCCGCGCGAGGCGGACCGGCACTGGTACTTCTCCCGGCACCGCAGCTGCCCGCCCCCCGTGTTCATGGCCTCGGTGACCCTCGCCCAGGTGGGCCCTCCCGCCCCAACCGCGCGGCCGCAGCCCGGCGCGCGTGGCTCTGACGCCCCTGTCCCCCAGATCATCGTGTTCCTGTGCTACGGGGCCCGCCTCAACAAGTGGGTGCTGCAGACGTACCACCCCGAGTACATGCGCAGCCCCCTGGTCTACCACCCCGGCCACCGCGCGCGGGCCTGGCGCTTCCTCACCTACATGTTCATGCACGTGGGGTGAGCCGGGCTCCCGCTGGCGGGAGGGGGGGGGTGCCGGCCAGCCCTCACACCAGACCCGCCCCCGCCAGCCTGGAGCAGCTGGGGTTCAACGCGCTCCTGCAGCTGATGATCGGGGTGCCCCTGGAGATGGTGCACGGGCTGCTGCGCATCGGCCTGCTCTACCTGGCCGGCGTGCTGGCAGGTGAGGCCCCGGCCCCCACCCACCCGCAGGCCCGCGGCCGCCCCGCGCGGCCCTCACGCGCCCCTTGTCACACAGGCTCCCTGACGGTCTCCATCACCGACATGCGGGCGCCCGTGGTGGGGGGCTCAGGCGGGGTCTACGCCCTGTGCTCCGCCCACCTGGCCAATGTGGTCATGGTAAGCGGGCGCGGGGGGCGGCTGGGGCGGGGTCCGCGGCCCACCTCACCGCCAGTCTTCCCCAGAACTGGGCCGGGATGCGGTGTCCCTACAAGCTGCTGCGGATGGTGCTGGCGCTGGTGTGCAGTAAGTAGGGGGTGGGGGGCTGCTCCCCGCCAGGGCGCCGCCCCCACCTGCCGCCTTCCTCCACAGTGAGCTCCGAGGTGGGCCGGGCCGTGTGGCTGCGCTTCTCCCCGCCGCTGCCCACCTCGGGCCCGCAGCCCAGCTTCATGGCCCACCTGGCCGGCGCGGTGGTGGGGGTCAGCATGGGCCTGACCATCCTGCGCAGTTACGAGGAGCGCCTGCGGGACCAGTGCGGCTGGTGGGTGGTGCTGCTGGCCTACGGCACCTTCCTGCTCTTTGCCATCTTCTGGAACATCTTTGCCTACGACCTGCTGGGCGCCCAGGTCCCCCCGCCGCCCTGACGGGCCCTCCGAACCCCCCCCCCCACCCCGCCGACTCGCAGTCTGAGCCTTTCGAGAACGAATAAATATTTTACACAGCAGCAGGCAGCCTCCCCCCTCGTGAGCCGCCAGAGGGGCGTACCCTCCTGCGGGGGACCCCGCTGCCCATGAAGACCCAGCGGGATGGGTGCGGGCCCAGGCCTCACTGCCAGGGGCGCTGCCGGCCGCTGGACTGCACGGTGGTGCACTGCCGACCCTGACTTGCGCGGGGCAGGGGCCGCACTCGGGAGGGCCGGCAGGTGCTGCCTGGGGCGCGCGCAGCGGCTCTCCTGCGGCTGACACAGCTCCGTGCCGCCCAGGCCAGCCTCTCGCTCAGGGGCCAGGCCAGGTACGGCGGGTAGAGCAGAGGGGCATGAGGGCCGCCAGCCCCGGGGCGCCGGCCAGGGCCTCCCCCCGCCCGCACCATCTGGCGGGGGCCGAACTCTCAGCCCCGAGCCCTACTCCCCACAGCCCTGCTCCGGGGACGCGGCCAGCGGCCGGCGCTCAGACGAAGGCTGTCAGGTGCAGGTGGGGTGCAGCGTCCACCTGGCCAGGCCGGCCCGAGGCGAGGCCGGCCCCCACCGCACGCAACCGCAGGGGCGCGGGCCGATACC